CAGGAAGCACAAATTCTAGACATACACCCTTATGCTCCTCTCATGCAGGCTTTCTATTAATAATTTTGTAAAACCTGTTAACTAAAGCTGTTTTACTGGAAAAACATATGGATGCTTTCAATTTTGTATTAACTTTTAAATAATTTAATTTTTCACACATTTACCTTTTTAAACAGATAAACTCATTGGAGTTCATTGTACTAATGGAATTAATAGAACTGGATACCTCATATGTAGGTAAGTATTCCACAAAAACTAAAGTAAATGTTTTCATTACAGTAGTATGTTTCCATCAATCATAACCAAACTTTTATGGAGGAATAATCCACCATTTTTTCCTCAGATACCTTATTGATGTTGAAGGTTGGGATCCAGAGACGGCAATTCAAGGTATTTTATATATCTTCATTAAACTTAAGGCTTTGTGTCTATAGCTGTTCTGTGGTAGGCCCTTTATAGTTCTCTCTTATATAGGTTTCCACAAAAAAATACATCTTGTTGCAGCTTCTGTTGTAGGTAGTATTTGAGTATCATCAGGCTTTCACCATGTTGAGAGGTTTCCCTCCTTCAACACCTAATTTATTTTGGTCGTTTTCTAATATTTGAGCAGCCACATAACTACTGTAATTACAGTTGTAATATAGTTTCCTCCAAAAATGTCAGTTTGCTATAGAATTGAGTGTTCACCATCCTAAGGTATAGAAAGTAACTACATTTGTGGCAGCTGGATTCTAAGCAGATTTAACTACACACACTTATTTTTTCAATATTTCCTATAGCTTTTGGTGAAGCTCGAGGCCATCGTATGGATGGTCTTGTATATCTTGCAGATCTCAGAACTCAACCTATGAGAAGGTAAGCAGAGGCTTTTAATTTTGTATTTGAAAATATTACTTGCATTTGCAATGTTAATTTTCAGCTTTAAATGCTGTATTTTATCCTGGTAAACCAAAACTAATCTTTTTTTTTTTTTAGTAGATAGACAGTGTGCGAGTATCTCTTAAGACTTTTGATATTAATTGCATGAAGTGCAGCTTACTTAAGTTTATCTTCTAAGTGTGTAGATGCGAAGGATTGTTAATTAATTTTTTACTTTTTAGGCTTTCAGTTTCATTGAATGTTTCTTGTTCTTGTGCTACCATGGTAAACATTTCTATACCACTAATTATGTTGTATATTCTAGAGTAAGGTGGTTAAGGGACAGCTTTCAATTCTTTTATCCCAATTGCCAAATGATCACATTGCTGTTGTTGAATCCCTGCCCCCGCCGCCC